AGTACACTTTGAAAAATGGATTTCATTTGTGAGAATTAATAGCAATCAATGCAAAGGAGTTGCGTCATAAGAGAAAAAGAATTTCTCTCCCCTAAGATCACTTTGGCACATAAATTAAGGTTGATTATTTTGTTATCTCAAGTATGGTATAAGTGGATTATCATTACAAGCAAGAAAAATATACGTGATTCTTTACCCTACTCTCAGATTATAGATTTCTCTCTAATTACTCAAGCTCTTCATCTCAACATGAATCAAAATTCAGATGATTCATCTAAACAATCTAGTAGGAGCGCGCCTGTTAAAGAAATTGAGGTTCCCAAGGATGTTGCAGATATGTTATAGTCTTGGTTAAATAATGCCAATAAAGTTAGAAATGTTATGAACAACATCACCATTTGTTGAACCTTCTAATGAAACATTCGGCCTTAAAAAGATAATGATATCAAATATGCGTCTTGAGAAGATAAGGAGGGTAGAGGTTGTAGTTGCAGAGATAATGGAGTCAAGTGATTCAAGTGATTCTAAGTCAGATGAGGACAACTTAAATTAGCTTTTTATCTAAAGAGATGAAGTTTAGAAATTTCTTCCTGAAGATTTCCTAGTTGCTATCTTTGTTGTTTGGCCCTTGTATCTAGGCATATTATTTTTGTATGGAATTGTAAAGGCTTCATAACCTCTTATTATCTTTGTACTATTACAAAAATCTAAAGCTTTTGCGTCTTTTGATGTTGTTCGAGTTTTTTCTCATGTTTTTGGCTGTGTATGTGCTGACTTACTAGCCTATGCATGACTGACACCTATGTGTTATATGATACTTACCCTTTGCCAAATTATGGGAAAAAAGGGAAAGTAGTGTGGTGTTGTTAAGTGTTGAGGTAACACATCATTTTTGTTTAGTAATATCCATCTCTGGTAAGTGTTAATGTTGTGCTCACATGTTGGAGCATCAGACAAGACATTTGGCTCTTTTAATGTGAGCTTGTGTGTTAGGAGTATTTTTGCATTTCCTAATATTAAATACTAATTATTTGTGTTATGCATGACTAAGTATGTGAATGATTGCATGTTAAGAGTTATTAGTTAGGATTGTATGCTACTAACTATGAGCTGAGTGAGTGCCATACATGACTAAATTGTGAATGATTGCATGTCTGTCTGATTCTAGAGCATTGTTTTGTATGGCATTTATGATGAGTTCTACTGATTTTTTGCTATTGAGCTTATCTATGATATTTGGAAGACTGATGTTTTTGTATGAAGACTATCACTTAGTTTGGTATGAATAACTGTTATATATTAAGGAGTTGTTTTTCTACAATTTTTTCAAAGGGGGTGATTGTTGTTACTTTTGGATTTGCTACATTTTTCAAAACAACAACAATGGTGAAGTACTCGAAGTGTTTAAGATTAATCTATCTTGCTTAAGTTTTATGGAGGTGCAAAAGGGACACATGTTGGACGCGATGTTACAACATGAGGTACAACATTTGGACCTTGCACAACAGGTCAATACTGCTACATTTTGGAAGCGTATCTGGTCAAAGTTTGGATCATATTTTATTGTTATTGGCTTAGCAATATAATTAAGTGGTTTATTTGACAATTTGATAAATATTTATTCAGCTTAAATAAAGATTTAAATTTGAATTTAAATTGAAATAAATCATATCTTGCTGGAGATATTTATGGAGTAGATAATATCAAACAGATTTTGCATTATTTCTGGACAAAATTAAATCTCAAATCCATGAAGAAAAGCCCAAAATTATTTTTCTATATAAGAATCTCAAAACCTACATTGAAAGTTAATAAATACACTGAAAATCTTAAAGTGTTAGGGCTTATTTTGAGTCCTTGTTATTGTTGTATGTACGCCACTATGTTTCACTAACTTGGCATAGTTGGTTTGTCTAGAGTTGAGTAGTTGTATTACACATTAATTATTAAGTTGTAATCTCCCATCACAGGTTGTGTGATGAAAATAAAGTGAGTATATTCTCATGTTTAGGAAGAGTCATAAATAAAAAAGTCATTGGGTAGTATTACGAAGAGGCATTGAACAACATAAGTTTTGTTGTTGCTTGTAAGATTAATTGTACTAAACTACTAATAGTAAATTTCCTTTCTTTGGATGTAGACTAAACTCCCCAGATGTAGGTGTGGTTTCTCCGAACTAGGTAAACAACTATCATGTTATTTATTTCTTTACTGCTTCATCATTTGCTATTTTGGCTTTTTCTAGTTTAACTTGTCAAACCAGTTGTCTAGAATATTGCATTCGACACCTATCCCCATTGTGGAACAAAATTCCAGTACCGCAAAACAGAATCACTCGCGAAGCTTTGTTCCATCGTAGCGTCTATGATCTTATCCATTTCTGAATCCGTAACATAACACAAGGTGTCTTTAATTTTGATTTTTATAAAAAAAATCTTTTATAGAGATGACTATAACATAAGTTTCTGTATATTTTACGGGTAAATTCTTAAAATGTATTTCCGAAAGCACTCAGGAAACGTAAATACATTTCTAGGGTAAATTTAATCATAGAATTGGGATATGGTTAAAAAAAATGAATTATATGTGTATAGAATTCATTCAAAGATACATTTTTGAATTTTAAGAGTAACTTTGATTTTTCACTAAATTGAAAAAACAATGCTTAAAATCCTTAAATAACTCTTTCAATGAATTCCCCATAATTAAATCAGTAAAGTTGAGGTAACACAACTTTTTTGTTTAGTAATAACCATCTCTATTAAGTGTTAATGTTGTGCTCACATGTTGGAGCATCAGGCAAGACATCTGGCTCTTTTGATGTGAGCTTGTGTGTTAGTAGTATTTTTGCATTCTCTAATATTAACTACTAATTGTTTGTGTTATGCATGACTAAGTATGTGAATGATTGCATGCTAATAATTATTAGTTACTAGGATTGTATGGTGCTAACTATGAGCTGATTGAGTGTCATGCATGACTAAATTGTGAATGATTACATGTCTGTCTGATTCTAGAGCATTGTTTTGTATGGAATTTATGATGAATTCTACTGATTTTTTGCTACTGAGCTTATCTCTGATATTTAGAAGACTGATGTTGTATGAAGACTGTCACTTGTTTTGGTATGAATAAGTGTTATATCTTGAAGAGTTATTTTGCCACAATTTGTCAAAGGGGGTGATTGTTGTTACTTTTAGATTTGCTACATTTTTCAAAACAACAACAATGGTGAAGTACTCGAAGTGTTCAAGATTAATCTAGCTTGCTTAACCTGTATGGAGGTGCAGAAGGGACACATGTTGGACGCAATGTCACAGCATGAGGTACAACATTTGGGCCTTGCGCAACAGGTCAATACTGCTATGTTTTGGAAGCGTGTCTGGTCAAAGACCGAATCCGATTTTATTGTTATTGGTTTAGCAATATAATTAAGTGGTTTGTTTGACAGTTTGATGAAGATTGATTCGGCTTAAATAAATATTTAGATTTAAATTTAAATTGAAACAAATCATATCTTGCTGGAGATATTTATGGAACAGATAATATCCAAAAAAAATTGCATTATTTATGGACGAAATTAAATCTCAAATCCATGAAGAAAAGCCCAAAATTATTCTTCTATATAAGGATCTCAAAACCTGCATTGAAAGTCAAGAAATACATTGAAGATTTTAGAGTGTTATGGTTTATTTTGAATCCCTATTACTGTTGTATGTACGCCACTATGTTTCAATAACTTGACATAGTTGGTTTGTCTAGAGTTGAGTGGTTGTATTACACATTAATTATTGAGTTGTAATCTCTCATCACAGATTGTGTGATGAAAAGAAAGTGAATAGGATTAGAAAGAGTCATTGAATAAAATAGGGTTTGTTGTTGCTTGTAAGACTAATTGTACTAAGCTACTAATAGTGAATTTTCTTTCTTTTAATGTGGACCCAACCCCCTAGACGTAGGTGTGGTTTCACCAAACTGGATAAACAACTATCACTTTATTTACTGCTTTTCTGCTTTACCATTTGCTATTGTGGTTTTTCTAGTTTAACTTGTCAAACCAGTTGTCTAGAACATTGTGTTCGACATCTATGTCCATTGAGAAACAAAATTTCAATACTGCAAAATAGAATCACTCGCGAAGCTTCGTTCCATTGTAGCTTCTGTGATCTTCTCTATTTCTAACTCCGCAACGAAACACAGGGTGTCTTTAGTTTTCAATTTTATAAAAAAAAAATTATTTGCAGAAATAACTATAACATAAATTTCTGCATTTTTTTTATAAATCTTTAAAATATATTTCCAAAAGCACTCCAAAAATATAAATAAATTTCTAGGATAAATTTAATCATAAAATTAGGACATGATTAAAAAATGAATTGTATGTATATAGAATTCCTTCGAAGATACATTTTCAAATAATTCTGATTTTCCACTAAATTGAAAAAACAATACATAAAATCCTTAAACAACTCTCAATGAATTCCCCATAATTAAATCAGTGAAATAAGAAAATGAAAAAAATAAATTTCGAAAATTATAGTTCTAAGCCCAATGCTGCTTGAAAGCTTTGTTGTCTTGTAATTGTTGTTTGAGTTGTGTTGACAGTGTATTGAAAGTACGAGAACTTTCAAGAAGCCTTCGGTACTTGTACAATTATATCAAGATAGCATGAAATATGGGTGGGGTAGCACGTGTAAAACATAATTTAATTGTCGGCTTCTTTTGCATAATTAGCGTTTATCAAATATTTTCAAAATCTTACTCTTTTTTAATAAAATAGTTAATGATGTGGCCCTTTTTGTTCATTTTGAAAACTTCGTATTAGACAGACGCATATAATTAATAACAAAATAATTAAGTAATTTTTATACTCAAGAAAATATGTCAAATTGATGCCCAAAAAGAGTAATTCAGTTTCTATTTAAGGGAAAGTTTGCATACACTTTCCTCACATCAACTTTTGTTTCTTCTCTTTCTTCTCGTAGTTTATCTTTTCAAAAATGGTGCTCTCTGGTAAGCTTATTACTGAACTTGGTATCAAAACACCCGCTGAAAGGTTCTACAAACTATTTCAAACAGAACTTCACGAAGTTCAAAACCATTGTGAAAGAATTCACCATACCAAGCTGCATGAAGGTGAAGACTGGCATGACACTGAGACGGTTAAACACTGGACCTATATCATAGGTAACTGAGTTTCTAATTCATTTAACATGAGTACATGACAACCAAATCATCTTGTTTGACTAGATTTTTCTATCATTAAGTTTATATATGTGTGGAAAATATCATTAGAAGTGCTGTTTTCTATAATTCTTTGGTATTAATTAGCCGTGACATCACAACAGGTGATGAGGTACACACATGTTATGAGAGTATTGAAGAAGCTGATGAACAGAACAAAAAGAACACTTGGAAGCTCTTTGGTGGAGACATTGATAAGCACTACAAGGTCTTTAAGCTCACCCTTGAAGTAGTTGATAAGGCTGATGGCACTGCTGCTGTTAAATGGACTGTGGAATATGAGAAGATCAAGGAGGATATTGACCCTCCAAATGGCTGGATGGACTACCTTAGCAAATGTACCAGAGACATTGATGGTAATCTTTCCAAGGCCGGGCCGCACTAAAAGATTAAAGAAAGTGACAAATAAAGAAGTAATGGCTTAGTGCAACCATGGGGTTGGCTTAACTAAGTGGTCATCTTTATAATTAAATAAGTGTGATGTTTGTATAATGATGTTGATGTGTATGCATATTGTCTTATGTTGTTCTTTCGTTTGTATGTGCCTTGTGAAGAGTGTTTCTTAAATTGTGATGCAGATCAATAAAAAGATGTATGTGCTATTTTAGTTTATAGTAGTACTTGTTTGTGCGATTAATTTTTTTTTTTTCCTTGTTAATTGATGTCGTCAATATTATAATAAAATTATGAGATAAATATTGAATTTTTTAAACAAACGGAAGAAATTCTATTAAGTTTCACAAAGAAAAAGAGAAGATAAAGGAAAAGAGAAGAAAGAAGAAGAATAAAGAATCGGTTCAATATATTTTACCTTTTCAATAAAAGTTTAAAAATGATAGTTGAATATCAACAATTAACTTTTCTCACCTTAATTAGGATTTCCGTCACCCTTCACAAAGATGAGAGACTAACATGTTATTTATAAAAAAAACTAACTTAATAGCCTAATGGATTTTTACACACGAGCTCATTATACAAGCTAACTTAGATAACAAGTTAACTTAAACAATTGAGCTTACAACCAAGACCCAATTTAATATACTAACTTAAATTACAAGTTAATATATTTTGACAACATGTTTGAATAGACTTCGACTACAGTATGTACAACTCCTGTGAAAATATCAAGCTACCCTTGTCGACACTAGAGTTCAATCTAAAATACCACAAATCTCTACCTTGGAACAAACTCTACACAAATAAGAAAACAAACTTGCTTTCATCATCTCTTATCCTTTAATTTCAACGCTTCTAACAAACTCTCTTGAACAAGAAGGGCTTGCATCTTCAAGCGCCACAAACCGAAATCATTCACACGGGTGAATTTCTCAATCTCATACTTTGTTGACGGCATCTTCTCCTCCACGCTCACCGCACCACTTTGTTGTGAATTGATGTCGTCAATAATAGAACAAAGTTATGAGATAAAGATTGAGTTTCTTGAGCAAACACAAGAAACCATATTAGGTTTCACAAAGGAAAAGAGAAGAAGGAAGAAGAATAGAGAAATTGTTAAATTTGTTTTATTATTCACTTTTTCAATGAGAGCTCAAAAATTACAAGTGAATACCAACAATTAACCTCTCTCACCCTAATTAGGATTTTCACCATCCTTCACAAAGATGAGAGACCAGCATGCTATTTATAAGAAAACTAACATATTAATCTAATGGGCTTTTACACACAGGCCCATTGCACAAGCTAACTTAAACAATTGAGCTTACAACCAAGACGCAATTTGACATACTAATTTAAATTACAAGTTAATATATTTCGATAGCGTGCTTGAACAGACTTTGATTACAACATGCACAACTCCTGTAGAAATATCAAACTACCTTGTCTACACTAGAGTTCGATCCAAAATACACAATTTCTTACAATAAACATTTTATTTGTATTCATGGTCTCTATATTATCTCTTTTTAATCATAAATAAAATTCTACTATAAGCCTTAACATATCTCACCATCAGATCTGACTCAACTCCCTCCCTTCGTGTAAATTAAAAAGGACTATAAAATCTTTCCACATGGTTTTAAATTGCTGATGTGGTTATGGTTGCGGCCACTGCGGTTGTGATTATTGTAGTTGTTGCGATGCGGATTGCAGTTTTTACAGTGTGAATTTATATTTTATGAATATAAAATATTATATATTATTATTTATTTTATGTTTCACATGTCTTGTATTTTCTTTCTAGATTTTCATATATGTTTCGTTAACACTTTTCTATCATTTTGAATATCACTAATCCTTTTAAAATTTATCTTAAATCTATTATATAAATAGGAAGGAATATTAACCAAGTAATTTTTAGTACCATTGTGTAATCTCTTGCGGTCTGATGCAGTCTGATGTGAGCTGATGCGGCCGTTGTGGTGTTATGATGCAGTCTCTAGCGAGGAAATTTGTGAGTGTAAGCTATTGATTAAATTTAACTCAAAAATACAAGAATCGCCACCGCGCTTTTATTTTATCCAAAAGGAAAGGAAAAAGAGCGAACAAAACCTAAAAATTCTAAACAAATAAACAGAGATTGGGTAAGGGGGTTGGTTATGCGATGGGAAGGTGTTAGCATCCAAAACGTATATAGTACTCTATAGGAGCCCTTCGAAATATCTACGCTTTTTAGTTTGAAAAAATGTTTGTTTGAAAAGAGATTGGGGAGATGATAAGAGAATTATTTTTAAGATTTTTGTGCTTGGAGGCCACATGCCTATGTACCCACAAAACGCAATATAGGATTAAAAAAACCCTGTAGTTTATGGTACAAATAACAAAACTGGTTTGTTTTGATTGACTTTTAAATGTAAAGACAAGTCGTCATTTTAAGGAGAAAACTGCGACTAGTCGCCCACAAGTATAAGACAACATTTGCATCACCTAAAGATGGACATTTTGCTTGGATTAAAATCAACAAGTCTATAACTCAACATCTAAGTGGAAAATGTCAACATCTTAAATACTATGGGGAATAGGAGAATTACATCTCAACTATGAAAATGACTCATATCTAAACTTTATGAAAAGCTTTAAAATGAGAAATTCACAAAGGCACAAAAAAGTGAATGAGTTTTTGTATTTTTTATGTCTTTTTGAAATAGTCAAAGTATAATTAACATTGATTGGCATTTATTAAAGAAAACAAAGTTTGAAAATCACTTGACAAAAGTCAAGAATTTTTATGAAAACGGTTTTAAGTTTGAAAACAAGAAGGTTTTTGAAAAAGGGAGAAGATTTTTGAAATTTAAGAAGGGGAGGAGATGAAGTGACTACCCTATAAATCAAATAAAAGTTAGAGATAAGAAGGATCTAACCGAATTTTAGCACACTTCATAGCAAGCCAATTAAGAATTTCTTCCACTTTGAGCATAAGTCAATAAGCAAGCCAAATAAGAATTCCTTCCACTTTGAACATAAGCCAATAAGCAAGCCAAATAAAGGTAAAGATCCATAATACTCCAAGCATAGGGAAAAAGACCTAATTCTAAGTCCAAGGGTCCAAGAATAATCCAAGACGTCAAAGGTCTAAGAATAATTCAAGAGGTCCAAAGTCTAAGTGCGTCCATGAGCATAACCACAAAATTAAGAGGACCAATTTTTTTAGAGGTTTAATCCTTTATTAGTGTTTTAAACAAGATATGGTTCAAGTGAACAAAGGAAAAATGGCAGAAACATAAACAAAATGATCTCTTAGAGTAAGAAATAAAAGAGAGATAAGGAGCGAGAAAGAAACATAAATAAAATTAGTACGATAATATTGTTAGTGAGTTAGTAAGTAGTTATTAGAAAAAATGATCAATGGTGGTTAACTCATGCACTTAGGCCAAAGTTAATGAAGACTCATTAGAGGATTGATAAAATCAAAGCCTCATAACATCAAGTTTCACAGGTAATGGACCTAAGACAAATAATCAACCATACTTGGACTTTCAAACATAAGTTTGAGCCACGAATGATCATTTTCCGATTGCAGGAGAAATTAGCACTATGTTAAGTAATCGTAATCCGGTTTATGTAGAAACCACGACTATATGAGGCCGATCAATAACAATGTTAGTGCTAATGCATGCTAGAGAAGTGATATGTAGATCACTCTCCGAAAGCAATGTTGCACGAAAAGAAAATAAGTAACAATCTCATCTTCATCAAGAACTTGAGATAAGTTCTAATGATATCGAAGATATTCATTGACCAAAAGAAAAATGAGAAGAGGAAAGGAAAAGCCAAATTGGATTACAATTCCAAATTCATTCCATCTTTAAGTTCATCCACTCATCTTGGTGGATTAAAGCACTAAACATATCATTAACTCAAAGCACCTAAAATGAATTGAACAATTCACTTTAAAGATAGATTTGAATTAATGAATTTTTATCCAAATTCATCTACACCCTAATTCAAATGAATTTAAAGAGGAAAAAGACCTTTAAAAGTGTAATCCAAAGCAAAAATCAAAGGGAAATGGAAGAAGAAGAAGAAGAAGAAGAAAGAACCAAAACAGTCCCAAAACAAATCCAAAATGGCAAAATACTCAGTGTGTAATCGATTACCCTCAGGGAGGTAATCGGTTACCACTGCTAAAACAACAGCAAATCCACTTTTAAAATGTGAAAAACTTGATCAATCATTTCTTCAAACATCTGATGATCAAGTATGCAATTTAGTACGAAAATTCAAGTAAAATAACAGCAAACAACTCCAATGGAACATAATTTGCAAGATCCAAAGGTCAAGCAACAAGAATCAACAATAGGTCACATTGTGAAGGATGTATCAAGAACAACAATGGTGGATCAAGAGATTACCACTTCAAATCTGAAAATTCTTCAAATCAACTCCAAAAAACCACACTCTAAAGCTTTGATCTACAGAGATTGATGATGAAAAGGTGAATGGGTGAAGGTTTAGCTCAAAGATTAGTAAGTTCTAATGATGAACTTACTAACTTTCAAAGGAAGAAAGAGCTTTGGTGAATTTGGTAGTTAGAGAAAAAAAAGAGTCAAGAAGAAATTTGACAAGGTGAATTTGGTTATCAAAAGCTTGTGAAATGAATGAAATGAGACCTCTATTTATAGGATTTAGGCTTGGAAATTTTGGTGGATTGGAGTTTGGTTTGGAAATAAAATTAGGCTTGGAATTTGAATTTGGAGGCAAAATCAAGATCAAACGGTGATTAGTGGAGGTGTATGGTGGGGATTAATTATGATGAGGTAGGGGAATTAAAATGAAGTGGTCTAGAATATTCTCATGATGCAATATTTGAATTTGGTGTCAAAATTGCTGCAGAATTTGAATTTGGAAAATTTTCACAAAAAAACGCACAGGATAATTGATTACCCTAATGTTGGTAATCGATTACCACAAGCAAAAATTATGAAA